AGCAACCAGCCTGAGATCTTGGAGCTAATGAACAAAGAGGCCAGGCTGGTATGTTATCAGGCAGCTTGGTGGATCTGGGGAAAGAGGTTTTTGTCTCAAGAGGGATTTTCAAAATTTATATCTGGACTTGTACTATTTGAGATCTCCTGAGTTTGGTTCAGCAGAGCTTTCTATAAAGCATCCTTAGCAGCCCTGATGTCAAGTGACAGGGGAAGTGGCTGTGATATTTGGATAGCCAGGCAGAATGAGATTCCTGTGAGAACTCCTGACAAGTACTCACCTATGTCCTTTGCTTCAGTGCCCTGGGGGAGGATTAAAGCTGATCCATGCCAACTCTGTCAATGGGCTCACTCTTGACTTGCTGGCTTATTGTTGTTGACAGCTTCCAGGTATACGTTTTCTTAGAGATGGATTCCATGCAAGAAAAATACTATTCTTGTTGCCAAGGCGTTAGTTTAATAAGTAAACAAATTGCAAAACACTAAAGGAGAACATGAAGGTGTTTTCAGGCTTCCCACTAGGAACTGCTTGTCTACCACTTTCCACACTAAAAAAGACCCAACAACTGTACTATAGACAGAATGTATTTTATCCTTTTTATCTTAATAAATGTTTTAAAGCTTGTTGTTATCCATTAGCATCTCAGCACTGTATACCTACAGAGAGCCTCTCATTTAATTTGCAGAATAAACAATATCATTACCATTTCAAGTCTATAAAAAAATAAGAGTTCATGAGATTAAAGAAATTGTTCTGCATCACATAAGGTATTAAAAGTGGGTCCCTAGCCAGGCATGTTAGTGGGCACCTGTAATACCAGCTACTCAGAAGGCTGAGGCAGGAGAATCGCTTGAATCCAGGAAGCAGAGGTTGCAGTTAGCTGAGATGGCACCACTGTACTCCAGCCGGGGTGACAGAGGAGACTCCATCTCAAAAACAAAAACAAAAACCAACCAACCAAACAAAAACTAGGTCCGTAACTTGTTATTAAGTATCTATCCAAGTGTCTATCTTCCACAGAGAACACACAATCTTGGAGTCTCACTTTATACTGATCAGGACCATTAACCCTGCAACCTGATTAGGCTACCAGGTTGGGCAAATTTCCTCAGGACCTGGCCCCCTAAAGAATAAAAATCCCTCAACTGCTTCTTACCTCCTAACTTCAAAAGGATCCAGAGGGTTTGGTTACCGCATTAGCTTGAAATAAAGGCTTGATTGTCCTTCCAGGATTTCAAACCTGTTCTTTGGAGGTGGCCCAACCTTGATTGTTCAGTTTTGCAGCCAGAAGCATGGATTAATCATCAGTATGTGAGTTCTTCATCTATGCTACCTGAAGTTTCTTGGCTGACTTTTAATTTATGTCATAAAATAGTAGTCTATTTAACATTTTTGCTACAAACAACATTTTTCTATGTATATTTCAAGTTATGAAGAAAAAGTCTTACTGATTAATATAAATACAAGTTTCTTATAATTTCAGGAAGTACTTCATACAAGGAAAAAGAGAAAATCAATTGAGGGGCTAGTTATAAATACTATTTGACACAGATTGGGACTGAGTGAGTTTTCTATCTGGATGGATAGTAAGTGCAAAATTGTGATGCTGTGATTTCTTATCACTGAAGAGTGTTCCACTTGGGGCAGCAGATGGAAATGAGATGTCTATGAGAATAGAGTTGAGTCATGAAAAGAGAAGAGAGTCCATGGATGCCCATCAGCCAGGTGAAGATGGAATAAGAGCTACAGCTATCATTTCAAAAAATTTTAAAAAAATACATAGTTTTCTGGCCCAGTGCAATGGCTAACACCTGTAATCCCAATACTGGGAGGCCAAGGTGGGAGGATCACTTGAGGCCAGGAGTTCAAGACCAGCCTAAGCAACATAGTGAGACCTTGTCTCTACAAAAATAAAAATAAAAAATTAGCCAGGCATGGTGGTGCACACCTGTAGTCCCAGTGACTCAGGAGGCTGAGGTGGGAAGATAGCTTGAGCCCAGGAGTTCCAGGCTGCAGTGAGCTGTGATCACACCACAGCACTCCAGCCAGACTGACAGAGTGAGACCATGCCCCTAAATAAATACACAGACAGATAGATAGATAGATACAAATATAGGTTTTCTTTTTTTTTCCCTAAAACGGAGTCTTGCTCTGTCACCCAGAGGTGGAGTGCAGTGGTGCCATCTCAGCTCACTACAACCTCTGCCTCCCAGGTTCAGGCAATTCTCCTGCATCAGCCTCCCGAGTAGCTGGGACTACAGGCATCCACCACCACACCAGGCTAATTTTTGTCTTTTTAGTAGAGAGGGGGTTTCACCATGTTGGCCAGGCTGAGTCCTGACCTCGTGATCTGCCCACCTTGGCCTTCCAAAGTGCTGGGATCACAGGCATGAGCCACCGTGCCCAGCCTAGTTTTCTTATAACAAAAGGAATAATTCCTTATTATCCAAATTGAAAATACGACTAAAGAGAGAGAGAGAGAGAGAAAACAAAAAACACCTGAATTCCACCACTGATTATTAACTAAATTCTGCACTGGTTTTTCATCTTATTGAGAGTTAACCACTAAATTAAGAGGGGAATGGGATTACCCCTGAAAATACCTTAAATTATTCAGTTTGGAATAGAACCTTGGAGCATGTAGAAAACCCAACACATGTGCATGGCATAAGCTTTGTTAGTTGAGCAACTAACGAAGTAGTTGTTATTTATAAGCCATGCTATTTAAACATAGATAAATAAATAAAAATAAAAGGACCTGTTAACAAAAGAATCACACTTACTGTGACAAGATACTCAATGTATGAAGAGCACACAGGACCAGAAATTGATCAAATTCACATCACCTCTTTCAGATTTATTTTGGATTAGTTTCAAGCTAATTGAAAAGATCAGATCCCACTGCCTTGGGAGGCCAAGGTGGGAGGATTGCTTGAGACCAGGAGTCCAAGGCCAGCCTGGGCAACAT